GTAATGAGTTACGACGGCCATTAGGGCAATAACATTGTCCCATTAAGGGCTATAACTTTAAGAATTTCACACACAACAATATAGAACACATAACAAATGAAACAGAAAAAAGTGTACGTGTTCGGCTGAATCATGTTGATATAATCATACAAAAAGTAAGAGCAACGCATATTGAAGATACGATATGAGAGTCTAGATCGTGATGATTTGGCCATATGCATAAAAGACCGAGTGACACACCTTTTAGACAAGTTGAATCGAAATATGTTTTTTGGAGAAAACAAAATGGAGACATAATATTCAGGTAGAGAATTGATCACATTCCATCTTTTCTATGTTTTGATATTTCATATACTCCCTTCGTACCCTATTAAAATTCACACTTTGACTCCACGGTTTTTTAGGTGGAAAAGTAAATGGCTTTGACTTTCTATTTATACCCCTAACCAAACAATTCAAAGTTGGGGTAAAAGTAAAGGGGGGACACGGTAAAAACAAGAATAAAAAGAAGAATAAATGTAAGAGGAAAGAGAGTAAAGCTCTCTTGTCCTGTTTACATAAGTACAGACCAGACTAAAAGGCAAGAAAGAGAGTGACATTTCACTTCCCTCCAAATCCCAAAATAGAAACTTTTTGGAGGACATTTCCCTCCCAAAAAATTGACACCTACATAAAAGGACACCCCATGACCTCGTTCCAACCACACACTCTGTTTTCACAATCTCTCTTCTACACATGAAATGGGAAATTCTTCCTTTTTGCAGTCTTCTTCTGCCACCCCTCCTGGTTCCTTTTTTGAAATTGCTTCTAAACCCTCTGATCTTAATGTCCCACCTCTAGAAGATGACACACAACATCTTCTTCAACTGCTACCTGCACCAGAGTCACAGAAGACGAAAATGAGGCACATAACACAGACAGGAAAAAGTGGCTGAAGCAAACTACAGAAAAAAAGCAGGATGATAGAGGTACTACTAAGCCAAGCAACAGATGGAAAACTTCAGAGGGGCGTTATAAAAAATGTATCCAATGAGTTTAACATTTCCAGAAGGGCTGTACACAAACTCTGGGTGCTAACAAAGGCACATATGCAGTGTGGGCCAACCATAAACGTGCAGAGTAAATGGACAGGTAACGCAGGACAAAAAAGAATTCAATTAAACATGCAAAAAATGTCACAGGTTCCTTTTCACCATAGGAAAAACATTAGTTCTTTGTCATATGCAATGGGGGTGTCAAAGACAATTGTGCACCGTTGGTTGAAGAAAAAGAAAATAGAAAGGCATTCTAATGCCATTAAGCTTTTGTTGACAGAAAGGGGGAAACAGAAAAGGTTAGAGTTTTGTCTCAGTCATATCCTGCCTCATTCACTACCCTTGTCCCCCATTTTTCATGATTTCTATGACCATGTAAACATAGATGAGAAGTGGTTCTATCTTTCTAAAGAAACAACAAGTTTTTACACCTCACCAAATGAAGATGACCCATACAGAACTGCCCAGTCCAAAAAAGTCATACCAAAAATAATGTTCATTCCTGCAATAGGTAGGCCTAGGCTGGGAACTACATGGGATGTAATATGGGATGGTAAAATTGGTATTTTTCTATTCGTGTATGAGGGCACTACAAAGAGGGGAAGCAAAAATAGACCTGCCGGGACCTTAGAGACCAAGGCTATTACAAGTATGACCAGACCAGTCATAAAGGACATGATTTTAAACAAAATCCTACCAGTTATCAAACAAAAGTTGCCAGATATTGAAAACAAACAGGTTATCATACAACAGGACAATGCTAGACCACATATAGATGTCAATGATGCTGATTTTGTCAAAAGTGGGACAGATGATGGATGGAAAGTCCAACTTCGTTGTCAGCCGCCAAACAGCCCTGATCTGAAAGTGCTGGACTTGGTTTTCTAGGGCTATTGACTCTTTGAAAGATCAAAAAGCCCCAAAATCCATCAAGGATTTAATTGAATCAGTACAAACAACATATGATGAGTTAACACCTCAATGCCTAAATAAGGTGTTCTTAAGCTATCAACTTGTCATGGAAGAGATTCTCAAGCATAATGGTGGAAATAACTACAAACTCAAACATATTGGAAAAGACAAGCTGGAAAGATAAGGATTATTACCAACTAATGTCCAGATCAGTGGACAAGTTTATGAGGCAGCAAAGACACATTTGGATGGACTACTAGCAACAAACACATTAGGTGAAAATGCAGGGACTCAGTTCACAGATGAAGGTTATCTGGATCTTCAACTGTGAACTGTCATACATGAGGATTAATGAGGGTAGAATTTTGTTAGTACACATTTTTATCTATATGTAAGTGTACTATTTTTATATGTACTTTCCTTGCTTGTAAGCACAATAGTTAGTGTACCTACATGTGCAAGTGTTAGCACAATTGAACAATGAACCACGTGACAAATTTTTGCAATGTGTAATGAACTGATTATCATATTTTTTGTATAACTTGGCCTCCTGCACTTATTCAGTGGGCTGCACAAGTACACAAAATCACAAGTATGGCATACCACAAATTATTTCACAACATCACCACACAGAAATTCACAAATTGTTAAACTCGAAGCCCCTAATCATCATGTGTTTCAACATTACAATCTAGGGGACAGAAGGATGCACAGGTGCACATAGGACACAAATTAACACATGCAACACAATTACACAAGGACAAATAGAGAGCACTGCCCTTAGAAGTGTGAACCTCATATTCGGCCCTCAGAGTTGAAATCGAACTCCTCTTCTTCCCCCGAACCATAACTAGATTCTGACCCTCCTCCATTCCTCCCAAATGCTGCCGATGTCACCTCTTCGCCATCGTCCTCCAAGCCATCCAGCCCTTCACATGTATCACTCACCAAATTGGAACCATACTTCTTCCTCAACCGCCAATAAGGGTCCGTGTCCTCGCTTTCAGGACCAAAGCGAACAAGGGTAACGATGGTTGTACGTGTTATGCATGGTCAGCATCATGAAAGGGTAAAGATTTACCATGAAAAGAAAGAGGTGGGTTCGAACATGGATGATTGTGCAGATCTGAGGTTTCAATGGATTTCAAACCTTTCAGATCTGTGTTAGGTTCTGAGTTGAGAAGGCGTTTGGTAACCCTACAACCTCTTTTTATCAGCGATCGGACTGGGCACATGACAGTTTCGTTTGAAGAGAGTTCCGTCCATTATTGGTGGTGTGATGAAGGTTAAGATAACAGTGGAGAAAGGGGCGACAAAAGGAGGAAAACAAGAGGAGATAGATCCAGAGGGAGCACACCGCAGAAGAGAGAAGGAGACCGACAGAAGAGAGAAGGTAGAAAGTTAGTAAATGGGGCGGTGCGTATAACGGAGGGAATAAATGGGGTTGTGAGTAGAACGAAGGTAATAAAGTGTAATATGGGATGAGAATATTTGTGTCTTTTACTCTAAGAAACTGTTGTAGAAGAACAATTGGTTCGAAAGCAAAGTAATATTCCTTCCGTCCCAAATCGATTTACAAAGTCAAGATTTTTTGGTCAACCAATGTTAAAGTTAAATCCTCCGTATTGACACTTAATTCAATTTTTAATAATTAAAATTTACATATTAAAAAATTACATTAAAATATATTCAAAGTTGCAAACTCCAAGTTAAATGTAATTAAAAATTGACATCCAAATTAAGTGAATAAAATAAAATTGTTTGACTAAAAAAGTCAATTTCGCAAATCAATTTGGGACAGATGTAGTATAAAAAAGTCCATACGTCTCTCTCTCTCTCTCTCTCTCTCTCTCTCTCTCTCTCTCTCTCTCTCTCTCTCTCTCTCTCTCTCTCTCTCTCTCTCTCTCACACACACACACACACACACACACACACACACACACATCGGTATGATGGATTACGTATCATGTATGTGTATATATAGGAAATCTTTCCGGTAAGGTATACCTTACCGGAGCCGCCGTGCGGCCTCCACGTTTTGAGGGTCTTCCCGGTGGAATTTTTCGATGATTTTTTTTTATCATGTTCGTCATCAAGTCTAGTACATCCATACCAAATTTCAGCAAAAAATTCAATCGGGAAGGTAGCCAAACAATTTTTGGAAGATAATTGCGTTTTATATGTATATAAAGGGTGCAGTTATCTTCCAAAAATCATTTGACTGCCTTCTCGATTGAATTTTTTGCTGAAATTTGGTATGGATGTACTAGACTTGATGAAGAACATGCACAAAAATTTCATCGAAAAATTCCACCGGAAGGCCCTCAAAACGTGGAGGCCGCACGGTGGCTCCGGTAAGGTATACCTTACCGGAAGATTTTCCACACACACAAACACACACACACACACATGGGAAAAGTTTCAAATAGGCCCCCCTATTAATACGAAAAAGTCAATTAAGCCCCCGAACTCAAAAAACATCCAATTAAGCCCACAAACTAAATATAACGAGGCAAAATAGTCCTTTTAGCAGGATATTAACCGTTCCCAGTTAAGTTGCATGTGTGGCAAATGATGTGGCATGCTTTTGCATTTTTACCTTTTTCTCTTTCTTTCATTTTTTCCTTATCTCTTTTTAACCGCTTAATTACCTGCTAAAAGGACCGTTTTGCCTCATTTTTTAAAGTTCGTGGGCTTAATTGAGTGTTTTTTGAGTTCAGAGGCTTAATTGACTTTTCTGTATTAGTAGGGGGCCTATTTGACAGTTTTCCCTATATATATATCGGTATGATGTATTAATAGGTCATACGTATTTTACATAATATATATATATTGTAGTAGTTTCTTAGTTAAATCGGGTTTTTTCGGTCCGGGTCGGGCTTAAAATTTTAGAACTTGAATTAGGACCCGAATTTTCGGGTTTGGGTCGGGTATTTTAACCCGGATCGGTCATGTTTAAAATAACCCGGACCAATGTCATATATCGGGTTGAGTCGGTTCGATTATCGGGTTTTGGATAGGTTTTTCCCACCCCTACAAACCATGTGTCATTTAGCTGAGAATTCAATGGAACTCAACCGACACTTTTTCTAACTGCTTAAAACACGTTAGCCCGACGGCACCATAACTTCGGTTTTACCAGACTTGGACTACACGCCGTTACCTCTCCGTCTACGATGGCCGCGGCGGTTTCTCAGAAGGCTGCAGAGTCATCACCGTCGCCTCCTCCGTCGCAGCTTATGGACCATCAATCAACTTCCTTTTCAACTCTAAATTCTAGACGCTCGGACATCGCCTCCGACGTTGCTGATGCGCCGGGTCGTGCTTCTATCGACCGATCTTCTTCTCATTCTAGCTCGTCTAGATTTTCGGATTCTCAGGTAAAATTGGAACGTATACTCTTTGCGTTTCTTAGCAATTGTGCAGACGAATGATTTACGATTCATTGAGGTGCGTGTTTGTTTATTCAAATGAAACGGAATCCTGATTTAGGTGTAAGCTAAGAAGCATATTATGTAAGTTTAGCAAATCGCGTGCAGTAGGAAAAGTTGAGCAAGAAGACATTTTGAAAAACAAACATTTAAACCAAAGGGCCCAAATAAATGACATTTTGAAATTCATTTGTATTGAAAAGAAGCTGAATTTGAATAACTTTGATTTTTGTAGCGGTAAAGAACTGGCAGCCCAATATCTTTTGGGACTAAGGCTTGGATGATGTTGTAAAGAACTGGCACGATCAAAACATTTAGGAACTTTCTAGATGTTTAGAACATTGATGGTGGCCAATAAGGCAAAATCTTGATTTTCATCATTCCTTCACCCTTGCTCTCAACATATTCTCATACACATGCATGGGATAAATATTATACTCCATAACTTGTAAAACTTCATTAGATAAGAGTTGAAATCTCTAATTGGCCGTGTGGTAGAGATCAACCATGCTTATCCATATAAGATTTAAGAAGTCATATTTCACAACTTCTGAAATTTTGAAATAAATTTGAAATGCAATGTAGCAGTGCTGGTCCGGAATAAAACCTTGACCAGCGGTCGCAAACTGTCTTAATGAATTGGAGCTTGTCCTTAACCGCCACCGGTTTAATGGCCCGGGACCAGTTCACTGCATCACAATAGTCATAGAACTTGACACTATAGAAACCATTGAAGGACATGACGCACGTAAAAATAGCACACATTTTTCAATTTTCTGTGTAAACTAAAGCAAAATCCATGGCCCTGGAATGGGAAGCCAGGTCAAGGCTTAGTCCTTTTATATTTTATATTCTTGCTTGCCTTTTTCTCACTGCACCATGCTAGACTTGTCCATGGTTTCAGCCATTTCCTTCATTTCAGCTCAATTTCCTCCATCCTTAGGAACTGTTCACTTGGGAGTTGGGCTAATTGCAGTCTCAATCCAAATCAGATTAAACCATACCGGACTTCAACAGGTCATACGAGATAAGAACAAACTTAAAAAGACTAGATCAGATAAGAACAGACCTAGATACCGATAAATATAGATAATACCATATCTTATCATACTAGTACAAAGTCCAGACCAGACCAATTTAGACCAAACTAGACCCGAGCATTTCAGTCCAAATGAACAGGTCCTTAATCACAGTTTTTGTATGATTAACTACAGAGAACTGCACATCAGTATAATAATGCAATTAACAGTTATAAGTGTGAAACGTAAACCCTGTGCATTCAATAAATTTTAGTATGTACTTAGATATAAATGTATTAAAAAATGCTACAACATAACTCATCTTATGTCCTATACTTTATATCATTTTGAGTTCTTGTTAGAAAAAGAGGTTTTGATATTTTTCTGATTTGAACCCTTGGTCCCTTTTTATAGGCATACTTAAGTACTTAACAAAGGTCATCTGTTTTTAACAGTCTCTCCTGTCTCTGAAGAGTGAAGAGTACCGGCAGCTGTTTCATCTTCCGGCCGATGAAGTGAGTAAATTATCTTTTGACTTTGAACCTTATATTAGAGGGCATCTTTGCTAGCACATGGGTTTCACTTCTGGTTGTAGTGATGCCTAGTCAATATCTCAGTGGTGTAATATAATTGCATATACAGGACAAACCTTCTCTCTCTCTCTCTAGAGAGAGAGAGAGAACAGCGTAGCCGCGTAGGTGTAACTATTCCTCCTCTATCAGGAACTATTGAGTTATATCTTTCATTTCTCTTGCATATAAGTCACATCCTTCTTGAGCAAAGCATCTGTGTTTGTGTTTTTATTAATTAACTGTCGCATAATATCACCCCACCATTTCATCTTCAAAATTAATTTCTGTTAGGATTCAGTATTGGACAAACAGCATAGCCATTTCTATTTACTTGTAGTTTTCTAGGTTGGCCATTTGTTGATTCTCAAACATATGGTTTCAGATAGCTTGCTACCAACTCAAAAGTGTTAGGAGATGCTAATTTGACTCCAAACAAATCATAGATTAGCTCATACCGTTCTGTTGAACTTTGGCCATGATGACTTAGTGTATTTGTTGGGATTACGTAGTTTACATACATAACAGTTGTTAGAATATTCTAGACACTAGTCTTGCAAAGATTGCTTTTTCTCCTTGTTAACATATGTCTCATTGTATAAGTTTTGCATTAGAACATCAGACTATATATATATATATATATATATATATATGTATAGAGAGAGAGAGAGAGAGAGAGAGAGATTTAGGATCAAATCATCAAATGAGAACCACACTTAACTTGAGAACGTGAGAACTCCACTTTTAAGCAAATGTGATGCACTATACCGTGTATACCTTGCACATTTCCGTGTTGATGAAATATTTATGAATCTGCCACCGCATTTTTTGATGTTGGCATATTTTGACCAAAGTTTAAAAAGTGCAATAGATGAGCCTCATCGTGCACCAAATTCTGTTGAAAGTGCATGGTTCTCACGTTCTCACATTAAGAATGGTTCTCATTGGAACCGCTACCTATATATATAGGGGATGTTTTTAGTGAGAACCCCTCCTAAAATGAGAACTCATTATAATGAGAACTTTTAATCACAACCTTTCATTTTATTCAATCATTGGTAGGATGCACATGGGGTCCTTTGTGTAATTATTCAAAATCTAAACGGGGTACTTTTTTGTAATTATTATAAAATTATTACAAAAATGCCACCTTGTTGATTCTAGCCCTTGATTTGATATATCAAACGTGTAGATTAAGAGTTCTCATTTATAATTGAGTTCTCATTTTAGGAGGGGTTCTCACTAGAACTCTCCCCTAAATAATATTATATTGCAACATGGAAACACAAGTGCGGTTGATTAATAGGGTTCTGCACGTGTTTAAGGGACAAAGTTTAATTTTCGCCTTCCCCATTCTGTACAGGTCCTTATTCAAGATTTTAACTGTGCTTTGCATGAGAACATTCTTCTTCAGGTAATGATATCATAACCTGCATCATCCTAGTGCTGACTGCTGAGTTATCTATGTAGTATGTACACTAATCTGTGTTCTTCATTAATTGTCTACCCAGCTACCCTATTTTTCAGATTCTTCAGTAAGGTTGTGAAAGTCTAGTGTGTTAACATTTTTTTTTTGCAGGGTCACATGTACTTATTTGCACATAATATTTGCTTTTACTCCAACCTTTTTGGATTTGAGACAAAGGTTTGATATTTACCTATCTTTGTTATCTACCCATACATTTAGTTTAACTCTTTGTAGAAAATACCTTATAACTCACTGAACTATTTATCAATATTCTTTTAGTTATTTGTTCAAATACAACCCACATTGATGCACTGAAGTGTATTTTTCTGGCATTTTCTCTTTTTCCTTGTATTACTATCTAAATGGATTAAACTTCATTTTCCTTTTCACTTTATGCCCATTCATTAGCAATTCAGCATCATAACATGATTGCCAACTAAATCTTCTTTGTTTCTAGAAAATAATTCCATTTGATGAGATTACATCGGTTAGAAAAGCGAAAACAGTTGCAATTTTCCCAACCGCCATAGAAATAGCAGTTGGAGAAAAGAAGGTACTGCCCTGAATTCAGGTTTCATGCCTTATAGCACTTTATGCACCTGTTGCTATGCTGTAACACAGGCCTTCCATTGTAGCAGTTCTTTTTTACATCTTTCCTGTCCCGTGATGAAGCTTTTAAGCTCATAAATGATGGTTGGATGCAACACAATAATGGAGCTAAAGCAACTGGTGATCAGCAGGTTTGTTATTATTTTCGTAAATATGATAGTGGATTCTTTTCAATGTGTGGCTATCTTGATTCTTGACTTACTGAATTTTGTTTTGTTCTGAAGTTTGAGTTAGAACATAAGTATTAAAGTAAGGTTTTAATATGTTCATGCAACTTGTGCTTTACATTAAAAAACATGTGTATTGAGTGAATGCTTTTCAACATAATGTCATAAGTAGTTAAGTAAACAAAGAGGGTAATATAATGCACCTGGTTATTCTCATTGTGCGTGTAGTATATCTGTAAACATTGTAAAACATGTTTTTTGCTTATATGAGAGCAGGAACCATACTCCGAGCCAAAAAGTCAAGAGAATGGATGTCTACTGGATGGTAAGCCAGAAAGTTCTGATCAACCAGTGGATGAGGCATTATCTGCGGTAGACAGGTATTTGCTTTGAGCTCTCTTACACAGTTTGCTGAGTTACATAACCCTATTGCTTTTGTGGTTGCCAGGGAAAATGAAAGTTCTATATCAGACGATACAAAGCCTTTGGATAGTGGAGATTATGAAATTGTTCCAAGTCCTCCAGGGCCACCTGACAATTTAGAGGAACATGCTGAGATTGTTCAGAGCACAGATCGTTCATCATTACAAAATTCTCTGGTCCTGGAGGAAGCTGATTGTGATGCACCTGAGGGTTAGTGAAGTTCATATTTGGGTTATCATTTTTCTACCATGAGCAACACACTCACGTGGGTGAAGTACGAAAAGCCTGTTTTGTAAAAGCTTGACTTGTGAGTAACCCACAGAGTTCTATCAGTAAATATGAAACTGAAATACACACACAAAAATTACTATCTAAGCTACAAATCACTCTTCTCTTGGATGTCTAATTTTCACTTTTGATTACACGCATACTTCCCTCTTAGATGCTTGCACGTTGAACTGACTTATTAACCATGGCTCTCTGATAACTGAGTATACCATGAAGAACTGAATCCCAGGAACTGAGAAGCAAAATTTGTAGATATTCTAGCAAAATCACTTTGGTAAGGTCGATTGGTTCTCATTGAGGGAACAATTGGCTTACGGGAATCTATGAGTATGGAGATCCTGACTCAATAAAAATATGAAAGGATAAAAATTAAGCCGTCTTAGTTCTTAAGTCACCTTTCTTTTTTATATTTTGCGGATTATGCTATTGAATATGCTTTTGTAACAAATATTTTTCTATATGCTCTAAATTTACGTTATAATCTATTCTAAAACTAGTTGCTTTGACATGCAGTCCCAAAAAGCTACACAATGGTTGCAGAATCTAAGTTTCCGGTACTATGAACTCTCCCTGACTTTTCTTTATGTAATTTTTTCACTTTATTGAGAGATGTTTTATTTATCAAGATAGTGACTAAACCATCCAGAACTCTCCCTGATTTCAAAATATTTAATTATTTATTGTATTATGGTCCACTTTAGTTTCAGTGAGTGTATATTCAGATAGATTGTTTGGTTTATTTAATGTAGAACCAGTCATATTAGCAAGTTGATGCACCTTTTACTGTGCCTTCAACTTAATGAATGTTTTCATCTTCTTTCTCAACACAAAACAGGTGAACGTGGAAAAGTTCTTTGATCTCTTCTTTTCAGATGATGGCATTGATTTCCAGGAGTCATTTCATCTAAAGTGTGGAGATAAAGGTAGCTTCTCACAAGGCTTTAAGAAGAATATTATTATTAATACCGAAGTTTTATTTGATTGACCAGCGAACTACCTTATGTGGCTTCTAATGAATGTATTCCAGATTTTAAATGCACTCACTGGTGCCCTTTTGAACAATTTGGCCACAAACGTAATGTATCGTTTCAACATCCAATTAAAATTTACCTGGGTAAGTCTCATTATAAGTATGACCTAATGCTTCTGTAATAAAAATGTTCACAACATTTTTGTCCTCTGATATCATTGTTGGGGCCTTCATTAGGTGCGAAATTTGGCAGCTGTCACGAGCTTCAGAAATATAGAGTTTACAGGAATTGGTACATACGTGTGTATACAGAAATCTGATGCTTTAGTTTATTAGAATTAGTGATCTTAAATTATTTTTAACATATTTTGGTTCCATGTATATCCAGTCACCTTGCGGTTGAGACTTGTCAAACAGTTGATGATGTACCTTATGGAGATTATTTTCAAGTGGAGGTAATTGGTGCATCTTAGTGCAACTTTAGTATTTTTGATATTTTTGACATCAATATGCTGTTCACAATTCTCTCCTTGACTGAGCATAAAGATCAATATAGTGCATATTCTAAAGGCAAGGGATGTTGTGTCCCTAAAATGTTTCGTATTGTCTTTCTATGTTCTTTATAACGTGCAGGGGCTTTGGGATGTTATGCGTGATGGTAGTGAAAGCTGTACTCTGAAGGTGTACACAAATGTAGCCTTTTCCAAGAAAACCATTTGGAAAGGTGCAATTCTTTTGTGTGTGTGTATTCATATAAAGGGCAAAATGGGATTTAATGATTAAAGATTGACTGATTGGGAAACTAGCAGACTGATGTAAAAATTTAGAGACAGAAAAGCAATAAAGAACTCAAGAATCGATAACCCAGTCCGTCAGTAGAATTGACTACATCTGGGAGTACAACCAAATCAAGAAGATCAGTAATAATATTTCAGTTGAGGGTTACAAGTCGCAAGTGATCATTGATACATAATGTGCCAAACCTTAGAGCCGAAAAAACAGCATATCAGGCTCCAACCCCCCCCCCCCCCCCAAGGCCATTTTGGTTTTGTTGTCCCAAAAATGAGTCTTAAATCAACAACATAAGCTAAATGTCATTAAATCTAGCGTATTTTATTCCACCAGAGAAGTGTCCCAAACAAGTTAAATAATAGTTGATCAAACGGACAAATTAAAAATAGAACAATGTTGTAAGAGTTGTGCCTTAATAAAATTTAAAAGTTGTAAGTTGTTTCGGTGAAGAGATGAGTTTTGGGCACCGGTTACGGTGTTGCTGTGTGACCGAGAGGTCACAAGTTCAAGTCTTGAGAGTGGTCTATTGTCAAAATTATAAGAGATGGCTTGCTCCATATACGCCCTTGTGTTGGGACCCTTCTGGACCCTCGCTTTGTGGGGACGCCAATGTGCACCGAGCTGTCCTTTAAGTTGTTTGGTGAAGATTGACTTTTTTTACTTGGGAAGTTGTACACCTGTATTGGACTGTGGGTATGGGCTCTTCACAAGCATATTAAGGGGTGTTTGGATCTACTTCTTAAAACTGCTTCTACTCCCTAAGGGAGCATAAACAAATATTGGAGTGTTTTGGTGAAAGTGCAGAAGTACTTCTAAGTGTCCCAAATTGCTCCTGGAAACAGTTTTTTAACTGAGGGAGATCATTTTTTTGAAAAACTGATTCTGATTCTACTTCTGCTTTTAAATTAGAAGCAGTAGCGGAATCAATTCCAAACACCCCTTAGTATGATAGCACAAACTATTCCTTCTTACTATCTAAACGTGTAAAAAACATGGCAGGGAAGATAGTGCAGTCCACAATTGAAGAATGTCGGGATGCTTATGGCATTTGGATTGAAATGGTATATTATGATATGTTCAGTTATTTTCGTCTAATAGCTTGGTTTTTTGTTGTTCGGTTGCTCATATGAGGCCTCTTGCTTCGCCAGGCACATGAATTGTTGAAGCAAAGGAAACTAGAGAAGGAACAAGGTATTATTTTTGCTTGAGATGATTTATTCTCATAGATATAAGACAAAAAAGCATTGACAAAAGTCTAAAGCCACCCCCCATCTTGTAGCTAATTTAGTTACAAATGGTCAAGTTGACATGGCAAAGCAAGTGACAGTAGATGCATGCAAGAGGATGTCAAATGGTGCGAGTAGAGCATTTATATCAGAGACATTGCCGGATGTGAACACTATGAACATTGCTGCAACGTCGCCATCTTTGTTTAGAGAATTCAACTCCAGAATTTCTTCTTTGCTAAAATCTCATAGTCAATTCTATGTTTTCCTGGTCTTGGGTATTGCTGTGGTGATCCTCCTTATGCAGGTAACCTCAGCTTTTCTTTGAAATCTCTACTGTACTGTGCTATTAAATTTCTGCATTTTTGTTTGTTCAACTGTTTGATAGGGCATGATATGTGAGAAAGAGAGGCTGATGAGAAAAATAGATGATATATAGAGTGGATTATGAAGTATGTTTTAATAAAGAGAGACAGATGAGATAAAATTGTTTATTTGGGAATAGGAGAAGTGATTTTGTTTACCAAAAGACCTGATTGTTCCATATTGATATACATGAACTTAATTAGGAAAGGTTACGTGGGATTGTGGGAATGAAAAAAACAACCTTGGCCTCATTTCTTCGTGACAAAATGGGTTTATGTTGGTCCTACACAATTTAGTCTCTCTCTCTCTCTCTCTCTCTCTCTCTCTCTCTCTCTCGTTTCTATTGCATATCAACATGATCACAAGAATAGATATGCCTTCCCTCCCTTCATTCTCCCTAAATTTTCTGTTCCCTGTTTCACCATGCCAAACCCACACTAAAGGTGTGCTTGGTTAGTTGGTTTAAAGGAGGGGGAACGGAGGGGACTAATTTTGTTACTTTGTTTGGTTTGGTTTTAGAGGAAAGTAAAGGGGGGAGAGCTTGAGTTTCTCCTAAGATTTCTTAACCAAATGAGGTGATGTGAGCATATCCCGCTCTTACCCTATCTGGTGAAGGGGGGATATAGAAATAGTAAGAGCTTCTCAAAATAAAACATCTTTATAAAATAAAATTCATGAGTGTAATTGATTTTTCAATTATCTCCCAGAACTTGAATTCCTTCTGATCTGAAAGTACACCTTTTTATTTTATTATCCTTTTGCACGTTGGCTGTTGCAGATGAGCATACTTGTACTGTTAAGTAGACCTCAACAGATCCACTTGATTCCTCAAGGCGATTGCATCCGTAGTAGCATGAATGGAATGGATGAGAGGAGGGCTGAGACATTTTCCTTTATAGATAAGCAGATTAGCCATCTCAAAGAAGAGATGGGTTTGGTGGAGACCGTGCTTGACAAAATGCAGACCGAGTATGGATTGCTCAAAGTGAAATTGGCAGAACTGGAACGATATCGGAATAACCAGAGATGATCAAACCGGCAACAGTTCTTATGCTTTTGTGGTACATAAATACATCTTTTGTGCATATGTTGTGTGTGGGTGGGGATTACATAATAATGTATGTTAAAGTGTACCAACTGCTAAGCTTTGTTCTCAATCTCTAGTTTTAATCTCTTTGAATTTGCCTATAAGTTGTTTACATCCGTAAATGCTTAAATATGTTCTCTATGTAAATATGAACATTTTCTATTTTAGAGTTTTGTATATTTATTATTTTTGCTTGACATGCACGCATTTTATGATTATTTTCACCCATGGGTTGGGAGTTCCTATAAATTACTCCCTCCGTCCCACAAAATTCTTCCCGGTTGACTTGGATCAGAGTTAAAAAAAGTGAGAATAAAGTGAAAATGTGTGGTTGTGGTTGAGTAAGAAAAAATTAAATGAATGATAGTCACACCCAAATTTTCCAAAATAGGAAATGAGAATTTTTTTTGGGACATCCCAAAAAGAAAAGTGGAAAGAATTTTAAGGGACGGGGGGTGGGGGGGGGTAAAAGAAGTGAAAATCCTTCAACCCATAAGAGCATCTCCAATGCTACAATTTGCACGATGCACATGTGGCATGAGAGAGATAGAGACAAAAGATTGATTTTATGATATTTCTCTCTCCTTTCTACGGTCTTATGTGTTTTTGGTAAGTTTTTCTCTACAATGTCAATCACAATGTCTACATCTAGACATTGTGCTTGATATTGTGAAGAAAAACTTCCTAAAATGATATAAGATCCTTCAAATAAGGAGAGAAATATTTTATTTATCGCTTTTTGATTGGCTATCACTCATGGTCTCATGCCATGTATGCACCGTTAACGTTTTAGCATTGGAGATGCTCTAATTAATTGCTATTTTTACTTGACACGGGGATTAAAAAATGAAAACCTAGCGCTGTTTTTCCCTAGCGAGAGCTCTCGTGTAGGGTTTGTCCTTCGCCACCCTGGTACGGCGTTTCTTTCAACCGACGCAGCTCTGCGCCGAATTGCTTTGGTTTTGACGTAGCTCGGGATGGATGATCGTGGCAGTGAGAAGATGGTGGAAGAAGTGGGATAGAGGCGTAGGGATGATCGAGACATGGTCAGTGTGGAGAGGTTGAACGCTCCATTCGATGGCATAAATTTGGGTCATACGGTGGGTACGCTACTGAGAGAGGGTATCATTCGAGCGACGGTCCGACTTCGTCTGAACCACCACCATGGGTTGTACCAGGCGCTAGAATCCGCGAAAGTGTTCCCAGTAATTTTTTTGTTTGTCATTTGTTTTCTTGTGTTTATCTTTGTTGTTGATTTTGACAGTTTGTTTGAGTTTTTTGCCACTCTTTATGTTATTGGGTATGGTTAGATCTATGAGAACATGTTTGGCTGTGTCAAGCCCATTACTTAGTTAGCGATTCGTGTTTCTCTTTCAGGGGTGACCGTCTCAAAGTCTGATCATAGAGTTTACAGTCGTAGTTGTTGGAGTTCAGTTAATGTCAGTTTTATTTTCCCTTTTTTTGATGTAATGATCCTGAATCTTTTGATATGAATAGGGCTTGTTTTGATGATAAAAAATGCAAAGTTGTGCAGACGAAACAAAAATATTGTGAACCACATATTCTTTTATCTTAAAAAGTGAAAAAAGAGTAAACATTGAAAGTTTGAAACAAACAAAAAGAAAAGGTTCAGATTTATTGTAGGACATGGGGAACACATGATATTATCATAAGATATAAAATGTACTGTAATCAACCTATACCTAACACATGAGGAATATATCTTAAATAATTTAATTCAATAGTACAGATGAAATATTATAATGATAGTGAAAAATTAATAATACATAATAATGAAAGAACAATATAAAAATGTATTGGAAGTGAAATATGATAATTAAAGATTATATAACCTACTTTGTATTTTTTTATTTGTTGCTATAATTCCTCAAGAAATATATGTAGTACTAGTATGTGCCAATTATTGCTGTTACTTATTGCTACAAATGTATGATAGGTGAGTTAATATTACCTAACAATATCTAAATTACTACAAATATTTAGTACTCCAACCGTCTCATTAAATTCTTCTAACTTTCCTTTTTGGGCCGTGATAAACAATTCTTCCAACTTCCAGTTTTGGAAAAATTGTGTGGTTCACATTCATTCAGATCAGACCAGATTAAATCAAACTAGATCAGATTAGGTTTCGACATTTATCAGACTAGATCATACCACACTTAAACAAATCAAACCAAAATAAATCAGATCATAGCAAAAAAGTTCAACCCAAGGTTATTTACATTAAATGTTACAACAATATAACTTCTCAACTCTCAAGTGTAGTAGAGATATAAATATTACAGTAAACACCCTTGAAGTGTGGACATATAAATGTTACACTAAATTTATAATTAAAATAGAGATTATTTATGATAGTATAACTTCTTAAGTGCAGTGAATATAATATTAATTTTAGTTATAGTAACTCACGTTCAATTTTTACAATTAAGTGAATTTTTTAAAAGGAAAAACCGCTTATATTAATATCATTAGGGTTCGGATTGGTACATTAAACTCAAAGAGACCAACACAGACAATAACTACCCGTAACCAATCAGCACCATCAACCCTACGACTAGACATTCAACCATCACCCCTAAAAGAACAATATGAATCGCTAACCACCAAACGGGTGTGACCCAACAATCACCAACCATATAAATCCTTCTAACGATATAATAGCTAGTAGAATTGTCAATCATCATCGTAGATCTAAGACTAAAGACATCAACAAAAAACAGAGTAATGTAAACAAACATAATGTGAAAATAAGAGCATAAGATATAAAATAACTGATAAAAGCTCCAATCTTCTTCCTGCCAGTTTTCCTGAAACATCATCTTCCAAACTCTGACACCTCGATCGCTCCAAGGCGACACTTCAGGAGAGGGGCGGACTGTCAATCTGTCTTCTCCATTGTTCAGCCCTTCACCGCTCCCCGTCTGCTTGTCGCTTGTGCCACCTTCTAATATGGTCATTATATGGCCATCGTGTACTTGCCAATCGTATGATGTAATGATTCCTATGATAGGAATCTAGGATGGCAACAATATACTCTTAAGGATGACTTTACTTTTTATGAGAAAGTTTGTACTAGAAAAGGGAAGGGAAATAATAAATAAAAAGTCTGTTGTAGCTGGGAGTGGGTGAAGTGTTATAAATAGAAAGCCTTATGTTTAGTTAGACAGGTTGGAACTATCTGCTTAGTTGGGATTGGGAGTCGATACTTTGTAACGACCCGTGAACTGTATTTTCTCTTTTTGTTAAACAATAAACTTTTCTATGTACATTCTTCTCCATTTTTGCCTTTTGTGAGATCGGAATTACTGTAGAATTAGTTCGAACATATCATTTGGTATCAGAGCATCGTTCATGACACCTGTCCATGGTTGCTACGTATGGAGCAATGGAAGGAAACTTGGAAAGTTTGGAAGGCGAGTTGGCGCATAATCGCGAAGAAATGAGTAGTACTCGCGACGTGGTCCGAAACATGCGCAAAGAACTTTGCGAAGAAGTCTGGAACGAGATGGCGGAGTTGCGTCACTTGCGTGAAATGATGAGAAAGCAGAATGTTCATCAGGAGAAGGGAAGATCAAGAACCTCAAACAAGAAAAAACGACACGACAGTTAAACGCATTTTGTCTCCAGAGGTAATTCTTGATCCATTTCATTTAGGAGAGAGGATGATAATCAAAGATTGTTTATGAAATCTGGTAGGAAAGTGGATTTGCCGCTTTTTAATAAAATCGGGGCTTATGGGTGGACAATTAGAGTCGAAAGATTTTGTAAACTCAACAATATAGTTGAAGAGGATAAGGTAGAGATAGCTACCTTAGCTATGGAGGAAAAAGCCTTAAATTTGTTCCAATTGTGGGATGAACATGTTGTAATGCGAAATTGGGAACAATTTAAGGTAGCACTAATTCCAAGATTCCAACCTGATCTAGTACAAAATCCAAATGGCCCTTTGTTGAGTGTGAAACTTGACAGTGTAATGGATTACCGGGAAAGGTTTGAACTAGTTGTAGCTACTTTACGACATACAAATAAATGAATGTTTGGAAATATTTTTAAATGGCCTGAAGGATGAAGTAATTAAGGGAAGATATGAAACTGTATCTAGCCAGGACTCTAGCTGATTTGATGGATAGGGATTTATTTTTTTCATTTTCATTTACCTCAGTGCCGCAAAGGCTCCCACCTACGGTGGGGTAAGGGGGGGTCGGAGTAAGGATCATAGTTCTAGAATGAAACATTTTCAGTTTGTGGTAATAGAAGATTCACATAATGAGGAAGAAAATTCAAACAAAGGCTCCCACCTACGGGATCCTTAAGAAGGATGTATTCCACTGGAAATTCAAAATAGCATATCCTTTAAATGAGATCCTTAAGAAGGATGTATTCCACTGGAATCAATCTGTCAGGGATGAGGAAGAATTGAAGCAGGCAATGTCTAACCTACCAATCCTACAAAGACCAGATTTTAACAAGGTGTTTCTATTCCTTTTTTGTGGTTACATGTCAAGAATGGGACGGTTTGGGAACTGGGTTACTCTAAGATGAGAAATATCAAGGGATTTTGCAAGAGTTGCGGGGACAACCAGAATCTATTCCAGATTTCAAACTCAAAAACGTTTTGTTATATTATAAAGGGAAATTGATTATTCCCAGAAATTCTGCTAGGATACCCTTTATCCTCAAAGAATTTCATGAATATGCCATAGGAGGACATGCTGGCAATTTTAAGACAATGAAGAGAATTTTCACACTGTTTAATGGTCGGGATGAGGAAGGACATCACAACTTATGTGCATTACGGCCTGTTTGGATTGAGTGTTGAGGAGTGTTAGTAATGGAAGTGTTAGTAAGTGTTGATGCTAACACTTGTTTGGGAGAAAAAATCAGAGGTGTTAAGAAGTGTTAGTAATGGTTAGGAAGTGTTAATAATAACCTTCCCAACACCTCAATTGTCCATTTTTTAACACCCCGATTTGGAGTGTTTTGAGGTGTTGGACAATTATTACCCTTCTCATTTGCCCGAAAAACATAAAATGCTTCGACATTTCACTTCGAATGTCTTTCCCACGGGTCTGATGGTTTGTTTTTCATCTCTTCTCTTTACTCTTTCTTTACTCTTTCTTTAACACTTCCATTATTAACACTTCATTCATTTGACTCTCCCAAACAAGGTAAAATTATG